AGAACAAAAGTAGGATGTAATACAAACCTCTGTCAAAATCCAGCTTACTTTGAGCCTTTCCTTGCACACTCTTTTGCAATCTCCTTGCAATCATTTCAAAACGATCATTTGCAAATCTCCTTGTTTGGGCTGGTTTGTTATCTTGCCATGGTTGTTTTCCTGTCTCTAATGAGACACCCCGTGATATTTTTGAATACCTTCTAGCCTACAATATTGTTATACCACCTTCTGAAACCTGACAGTACAGGCAGAAGGATATCCTTCTGCACTACCTGTGGTGGCTTTGCAGAGTTTGGGAATTTCCCAGGCCTCTGGCTGCCTTCTGATGGCTCTGAAATTCTCTTCCTTGATGCTACGCTGGTTTTGGACGGGGCAGAGTTAATTTGCTTCACAGTAGCTAGTAGGGGGCCGTGTTTCAGATTTGTGATGTGTCCTGGGGTGATTGTATGATGCTTCTATCCTCAACAGTCTGTTCTGCTTGTGCTAGATAATAAGTTTTGCACCTTTAACATGGAGGCCTTTGCTCAAAAGGAGGTGGAAACAGGGCTGATAATGGAGATACATTTTCCCTGTTGCTGGGAAATGTTTGCACAGTCAAGACCTTTTATGCTCCCTCAGCCCAACCCAGCATTGAGAGTGCAGGGGGTGCACAAGGAGCTGGAAGGGGACACAGCCAGGACAGCTGACCCCAAATGATCACAGGAATATCCCACACCACATGGCATCATGTTCAGCCTAAAGAGCTGGGGGAGAAGATAGGAGGAGAGGATGTTCAGAGTTACAGCATTTGTCTTCCCAAGACACCCTTACGTGGGATGAAGCCCAGATTTCCTGAGGGTGGCTGAACATCTGCCTGCTCATGGGAAGCAGTGAATGAATTCCTTGTTTGCTTTTCCTATTAAACTGTATTTATCTCAACCCATGAGTTTTCTCTCTTTTACCCTTCAGACTCCCCCATTCCACTGGGATGAGTGAACTGCATGGGGCTCAGTTGCCAGCTGGGGTTAAACCAAGGCAATGGGGCCTACAAAGCAGACACCACCTTTGGAAAGTTCACAATACCAGACTGAATGCCAAAGAATTTGCTAAGGCTGTGAGAAAGGATGATGCTGAACCTGGTGTTCCATCACTCCCACATTTTATTACTCTTACAAAACTGTAGGTGAACAGTTGCCACATGTGTTAAAGATTTACAGATGATGTTAAAAGCAGCTAAAAAAAGAAAAAAATCTCACTGAAAAAACAATCCCTACTCAAATCAGGTAATTTTTAAATAGCAAGATTTAGCTTGAATGAATAAAGCAGAGGTAGAAGTAAAACTTGAAATTTCCAGTGAGAGCACAAATTCTCAGAATGGCATCACTGTGTCAGAATATTTAGTGCTCCTGTCAGTCAGGGAGGTTTTTTGGTTTCTCAGAAAAACTTTTGGGTCTCGGTAGGTGGTGCTATAGCTCTTCAATCCACCGGGGGCCACACCTGCTTCCAGTGCTGAAATGAATTGCATGGACTAGTGTGACACACAGTGTCACTTCACCACTTGAGGTGGAAAGCTGGGGGGGAGAATACTAAAAAAAACCAAACAAAACCCCCAAATGATGCTGAAATTGTAATTTAAACACTTACATAAGCCTGTAGTTCAGGTGGCATTTAGAGCTCTCACTAAGGCAAAGGTATCATACCATACACCGAACAAAAGAAAATGGCAATTATGCATGAGACCTACAAAATTATCACACTGCCATGTCTATACAAAAATACAAGTAAAGAACTGCATAAATATTTAGCTCTTTCTGCAGCCTATTCTAAAGTCCTATGACTGTCAGAATAAACACTTGAAGAAAACAGCAAGTATTGATATTGTTCTAAGGAATGAATTCTGGCTACAAAAGCTGAACACAGCTCTAAGATGGGTTGTTTACATCCACACTGTGAAACCAGCAAAAATTCTGATCAGAGCCTGCAGGGTGCACCAAGGTGCCCTGGGCAGCCTGTCCCTGTCCCTCTTGGCCACCCCTGTGCCTGGACCAGGGGCTGTGCTGCAGGCTGCCCATCCCCGGATCCCCTTACAGGGCAGGGGACGCAGAGTGTCCCACCCACAGCCATGTCCCCAGTCCTGCTCAGCGCTGGCTCCTGTGTCACACTCACACACCCGTGGTGCTGCTGGGCACACTCTGGGCCAGACTGGCCAGCCGTGCCCTGTGGCCCTGGCTCCTGCTGGGCACCAGAGCCCTGTGCTGCCAGGGGCTCACGCTGCCTGTGCTGATGTGCCCAGCCCCGGCTGATCAAGCTGCTCCCTGACACCAAACGCAGCAAACAACTGTTCCTTGCTCAGGTCACCTCCAGGGATCCACAGCACCTGGCATGAATCCTCAGTGCCTCCTGCCAGCCCTGTTCTGTGCCTTGAATAAGGACTAAGCCAGAAACTGATTCCACTGCATAAACAAGGCCTCATCTACTAATTCATCAATTTAAAGGACTGTCTTAAAAATTTTTACTCATCTCCTACCCTTTTGTGCAAAGCTCTGTTTTGGATAACTCACACACAGCTGTAACTGACAAGTCAAGTCCGGAACAGTTTGCTTTGGTTTACAGTTAGTGCAGTATAAATTTCCAAATCATCTCAACTCAATCAGAAGATCTCCTAAAGCCCTGGTTCTTCAAAAAACATCAGAAGAATCTTTTCAGATGAAACTGTACTTGAACTGTAGATTCATGATGCAAGAAATACTTAAGACACACATATGTAGTCAAAGAACTATATGGCAGTTTTATTTGTAAAATACTTAATTCCTAACAGCAAAATACTTTAATTGTACTTTATAAAAGTTAGGAAAATTTGATACATTTAAAACAGAAACAAGAAAACTATTTCTACTTCAATTTTCTTTTCAAGTTGGAAGCTATAGATATACACCATAGTTAACAGATTTCAGTGCCAGACACATCATTCAATAAATATATCCTTCCACCATTAAAACCTGTGAAGGGCAGCGAAAACAATTAATAAAACTACTGAAAAAAATATAAGCATTTTTGTCTTTTTCTGAGGTTTGGAACTAGTAATATCTATACACAACAAAGTTCTTGGCATTTACAACAAGGACTGTATAGCAAGTAACAGAAGAGTCTGTTAATAGTACACCAGAACAACCGAATTTTCAGTACAATATTTCTACCAAGAAAAGAAAATCAGAAATTCAGTCTCTTTCTTGAATCCTACAGCAGACTTCTGCAAGGAGGTGGCAGAAGGAACTTAAATTACCAACTGATTTCATATTTGATAAGGCCATTGCATATCCTAAGTTGTAATTAAAAAGCTGGTCCTATACTCTGTACATAAAGACTGTCTGTTATGAACAGAAGTTGAATTGAGAATGAGTGAATTCACTGTTCTATCCTACCGCTAACAAACTATGAAACCTTTGCCTTGGAGAGGACAGATTTAGTTACATCTAACTCTGCTATGTACAGGTGTTATTTTGGAAGTCACAGTTTCCACAACCTTTCAGAGGTAAAATCCACTCCCTACGCCAGTCTTCCAAGAAGCTTCCTTCTGTGAAGAAACTGGACCTTTGAGACTGCACTCAGACCCAACACAAGTGGCAAGGCAAGTTCTCACAGCAGCCAGCCAGTACAGTCACTGCGAGGCCCGTGTGACTGATGCTGGAAAACACGGAACACAAAGGCTCACACCAACTGTAGGAGTTCAGCAAGGGCAAGGGCTGGGCTCTGCACCTGGAACAGGGCAAGCCTGGCTGCATGCAGCAGCCGGGGAAGGAGAAGCTGGAGAGCAGCTATGGAAAGGGTCCTGGAGGTCCTGGTTGATCAGTCAGGAATGCCCTGTCAGCCAGGAGGGTCAGCAGGGTCTTGGGGGGCATCAGGCACAGCACTGCCAGCTGGGAGAGGGAGGGGATTGTCCTGCTCTGCTCTGCACTGGGGCAGCCTCACCTTGAGTGCTGGGAGCAGTTTTAGGCACCACAATATAAGGAACACATTCAGCTATAGTGAGTCCAGAGGAGGACCATGAGGATGGTGAAGGGTCTGGAGCAGAAGCTGTATGAGGAGCAGCTAGGTCACCTGGTTTTTGCCAGACTGGGGGAGACTGAGGGGAGACCTCATTGTGATCTTCAACATCCGCACAAGGGGAAGAGGAGGGGCAGGTACTGATCTATTTCCTCTTACGAGCAGTGATGGGACCTGAGGGAATGGCCTGAAGCTGTAGCAGGGGAGGTTTAGGTTGGATATCAGGAAAAGGTTCTTCACCCAGAGGGTAGGTGGGCACTAGCAAAGGTTCCCAGGGAAGTGGCCATATCACTGACAGAGCCAAAAGCCTGACAGAGTTCAAGAAGCATTTTGACAATGCTCTCAGGCACATGGTGTCATTTTTGGGGATGATCCTATGCACTGTCAGTAGTTGGAATTTATGATCCTGATATGTCCCTTACAACTCAGCATATTTTATGATTCTACAATTACTTCCTTTCTTGAAAACAAACAAATAAAAAACCCCCAAATAACAAAGAAGTTACTCGACATAAACCCCATTAACTTCTGTACAGTTACTGTTGTTGAATTCCAACTTACAAATTAAACTGAGCAAGATATGAAATTGAATATATACGGTAATTAATTTTTATTTATTTGTAAAAGTTGAACATCCCAGTGATTTTGAAAATTAGTTTGTTACAATTAGTTTGTCTGTTCTTTTTCTTTAAATATATAACTTAGTGCACTAATAAATCTTAGTCTTTTGTAGACACAAAGGAAAGGCAAGGGCACGAACATTTATTATTAACAGGTGCTTTTCTGGGCCTCATACACCTACAGCAAAGCATTTGCTGCAAATGTGAAGTCTTAGCCACAGTAACCATGAGATGGTGAAGTTCAGGACCCTGAAGAAGTATTTTCCTTAAATTTCATTTAAAAAACCCAGAACCAATCATTGGACTGGGTTGTTTTTTTTTTTTTTAAATCCAGAACCAATCATTGGACTGGGCTGTTTTTTTTTTTGTCCTTTTAGTACAGCTAAATCAGAGCAAAGCAGTGTAACTGATGCCTTGAGAGGCTACCTAGAACAGAGGCTAGACAGTTTTAAAGGAATAAAGTAGGTATTTATTAAAAGGCCTCCAAAAGATACACCCTGGGCAATACAAGAGCCTGGCTGAGGCTATGCCCAAGATGGATGATAGGTCAGGAGTTTTTGCACGTCCATAAGCTTTGGTCAATTTACATACTGGGGTTAATTGTACAATTACAGCTTCAGGTTAAGCAGTCCCATCCTCCAACACCGCTCCTCTCATTTCGCTGTTTATACTTTTTGGGCCTGAAGCTGCAATGGTGTCCTTGATTCTCAGGCTGGAAAAGGATTGTTTTGTCTAACTAAACTGTGAAGAGAATCTGCTAACACTTCACATGAAGTTCAAAGTTATATACTAATGCAGTACAGGATCTGGAAAATATGAAAGCTAAAAATTAAGGCATCATTCCCCCATACATTACCAGCTGTACTTACATTGTTGTCTGCCTCTTATCCTGCAAAAACCCCACGGATATAGGAGGCAAAAATGTGAGAGATCATACAATCATTAGTTGGAAAAGACCTTGAAGATCATCAAGTCCAGATACGACAAATGCATTAACTAAATGCAATTAAAAATATTTTTCCTTTCTGATATTTTTGCTGAATATACGCAATTGTCAAAGCAAATTTCATTCCTCACACATAATGAGATAATTTAACTGGCTATGATTCACCCTCCAAGGAGGACCACTCCTTCCTCTCCTCTCTTCCATCTGCTTGTGCTGAATTGATGCACAGTGCATCTTTTCTAACCAGATTAATCTTTCAGATTCAATGAATCATAAGAAGATGCTTTGAGAATCATGAGAAGATGCACATTGCAAATGCTACAGGGAACACTGAAAATAATTTCTGAGGAGCACAAACACTACCTATGCAAAGAGTTAAGGCTCCCAAGCCTTCTGCTAATTTTGGTCTCATGAAGTGATGCTATTTGTGCTGCTGACACCTCACTTGAACAGGACAGCTCGATATTACAGGCTTTTACATGGAATTAATAAAAACCTGCTAAATTAAGATTTGAGACAGATGCTAGAGAGCTTCAGTCTGAGAGACAGCTTTACGGAAGTGGGATCTTCTGGGGGACTCTGCCCGGGCTCTCTGGCGGCTTCCAGACGTTGCCTTTTTCAGCTCATGTCTGAGGCTGCGGATTGTGCTGTTTATGGCAGCCACGCATGCCTTCCAATCAAATCCACTTTCATTTAGATCAAAGGATGGAAAATTCTCTTGAAGAAACTCTAAAAAAAAAAACAAGTATGTAATAGTGAGTTATCAATTATTTAGGTAAGCTATATATTCTTTCTGGATGTAATTAAGCTAAAACAAGTGCATGCTACCAAACCAGGACAGCTAGACATATTACAAGCCTTGAAAAGCAAAGCAGGGCAGATATTGCTTTCCCACTGTTATATTTGAAAATGAGTAAAAAACGGTCTAAGCATAAAAACAAAATATGAAAAGAAAACGTGATCATGTGTGTGGTTTTGATCCTTTGAAGTGCTGAGTAACTTCAGCTTCTACTGTGGTCAGCCAGCAAAGACAAATCTTGGGCTCTATTTCAGAATGACCAGAATTAGGCAGGACCAAGCTCTCCTTCAGAGGATCTCTGACAACTATATTCACTAAAATTAGTCACACCAGTTCAGCATAACATAGATGTACAGGAACAAAAGTGACAGAAAAATTGTGAGAGCTCATTCCTTACCATGCTGCAAGTAAGACCAGTAAACAAACACTTGAGTCTGGTAGCAATGACATAAAAAGGATAGGACTATGGCACCTTTCTCCCCTTTCATGAGTAAAATGAGTAGTTTAAAACCAAAATTAAAACTGGTTTTTAAAATTATTGAGAAGTGATTGTCCTGCTGAGGTGAGCTGGACTGCATGCTTTCTCTAAGCAACCCAGTAAAAGACTTAAATAAACACCAAAAAGGAATTCTCATCTGTAGCTTCAAATCAAGGCAATATTGATTCTCTTTCTCTGATAAACATCTAGATTTACCTTCATAGTAGAAAGAAAGGTATAGCTAGTAGATATTGTGTCAGCTTTGTTCTTCCACATACCAGAAAGTAAAAATCTAATATAGAATCATTGTTTACAGTTAAAATTCTAACTTGTAGTTACAAACCTAGAAACTCATTTTGCCAGAAAAACTCTGGTCTGAAGGAAGAAAGTACTGAAATAGAAACCTGTGCTCTTGCAGTTCATTCTGCTCCAGGAGGAGAGGTGAAAGGGAGAGTAAGTGTGCCTTAGGATGCTCCTGTTATAAGCTATGATGACAAAGGATACACTAGCCATGGGCTGAAGCAGCAGACAGGCTCTCCTTACTTCCATCCCCAGCAGGAAATTCAAGAATACTCGACTGCAGAGGATCAGCACAGACCTGGAATTCTTCAAGGTCTACAGAACCTTTGTACATGGTCCACAAATCAGCTTTTAAAGTTATGCCTTTTCTTTGACCAAAACTGACTGATTTTGGGGATTATAATAAGGCTATGCAGGGCCCCTTCCTGCTCTGTAGGATAAAATTCAGGGAGCTGGTGCTGCCATCCAGTCAGGCTGTGTGAAAGGAAACAGGGGCAGGGAATGTCCTCTGGCTCCAGAGCCAAGTGACAAGGTCTGGCTGCAACCACAAGACACAGGACTTCCCTCTCATCTGCTCTGTGGCCTGCATGGTGTTCTGCAGTCCTAAGATGCACTTACTACATCTTTTGAATGCTTCTTAATCTCAAAATATCAAGAAATAAAATAGAGACGTTTAAGTGGCAATGTTTCCAGTGCTAGTGGTTGCCATACTGGAAATGGTTTCTGGCATGCTCTGCCTGCCCCTCAAGCTATCACAGACATCACCCCAGAGGGTGAGAGTCACAGCTCCACTTTATTGAGCATGAACTCTGTTCCTTCAGATGCAGTCCTCCTTCCCCACTTCTCTCCCCAACCCCAGAGGGTGGGGCAGGGGAACAGGACAGGGAGGAAGAAGGTGAGCAAGCACCTGTCTTTAGCCACCTGATGGGTTAAAACACAACAGTTGCTAAATTACACTTCATAAGCTCTCCTTGTTTCCAATCTCTAAATATGGCTTTTTTGCTCCAGGGCTCAGTTATCAACTCCCTGCTTAGCCCAAACTGTCTTCCCATAGCTCAGCGCTCCTAAACATCAAGATGGACTCTTGTGTGTTTGCAAAAGGCTGATTTTAAAGGTCTGTCAACTTTCCTGAGCTTCTCTCCTATTCAGAGCTGTCTCTCACAAGCTCCCATCTGTGACTTTCCCAAACATGTCAAAACGTGCTCTCCCAAGGTACAAAGCCCATACTCAGACCCTTCTTACTCTACTCAGGACCTCAGGGCCCATGATTTCATAATCTCTACAGGCAATGCCACCACCAATTATCACACAAGAACCCTTTTTGTGAAGGGAGCCATAACCTGCTGTACATGCCATCTCTCTTCTCTGCTTCACCTACACAGCCCCTGTATCAAGAAATTATCTCTGATGTCCTACAGAATCCTCAGGGACTGCTCCCATCTCCCACTGCATTGCCCTTTCAAGCCAATGTCAAGACAATTGAGTTTTCCCATGCAAACCAGGTTCATGATCTGGAGAATTTCCTGAGCTACTAAAACATAACTTTAACTACTTCCTTTCAAATGTGCTTGTAGAAATGGCTGGGAGAATATTTTCACAAAGTAATTTCTGAAGCTCTATGCTTTGTTCACAGGATACGAAGATAATACTCTTTATTAGTGTCCCCACATTATGATTTAACACAGATTTTCTTACTCACCTCTGAGAGCATTAATTTTATTGGAATCCAGTGGGCTCATGCCACGATCAAGACTGCCATACACGTTGCTTTTCACCAGCAGCTCCTCTGGGAACATGTGACGAATCAGGAAGCGAGCTGACAACTCCGGCCGTACCTTCCCCTTAGCGACGTAAATTACGGAGAAAGGCAACTGAACATTGCGCCACGGGCTCCCAAGAGGTTCTAGAGAAGATGCCATGGAGGGGAGAGAGATATTTTACTCATACAACACTGACCATGCCTCAAAGTGGCTGTATTAAATCAAAACTGACACACAAAAAGCTCACCCAGAAACTACTCTACTTGCTTGGAAAGACCAAAGCACAACCGTAACACTGCAGCTACTGCTAACATGAAACACACGGCCAAGCAGCCAGAACACCCTGCCTGGTTTACAACCACAAACAGTACTTCTGATATGTCTCCAGCAATGCAACCTGCATTATTAATTACTGCTTTCTAACTTGTTTCATCTCATGTCAAAAGATGATGCTTTTCCAAGTACGTAAGTATGTAAGCGTTCTGCTATTTCAGTGGTGCTTAGATTCTGCAAGCAGAAACAGAAAAAGAGTGAATATTTTTCAGTTACTTCTAATCTCACTTCACTGCAAACACTAATAAGAAAAAAATGCAAAATTTTTAGTACATAAAGAAGTCTGTGGGATCTGACTAACGAATCTTGGGTGCAGAAACAGATCTGATACAGCCCCAAAGTGATCCTAATTGAATAAATTACTTCCAAGAGCAACTAATCTCAGCCCATCTTCCCTGAGGGTCTCTAAGCATCACATGATGTACATGGATTTTTTCCCCAATGCATTTGTGTATTGAACACTTACATTAGAAAAATGTGAAACTATAAAGGCTGCTTTAAGATTTTTATTGTCCTGAAGAGTCAGTTTTCCAGAGAGGTGTACTTTTTCTTCTGAAATTGCAATACCATTCAATAGATACTCTGAGCTAGCTTACTTTACTTTTTTAAGACAGACTATCTACCAAAGAAAAGAAAAAAGCCAGGACAACTGAACAGAGTAACTGAAGCTGAACTTCCCAATGTCACAGCAGACATGCACTATGGGACTCTGGCAGATGCAAAGATATATTCTGTTAGCCAGATACAACGCCCTTGTTCATTCCCAAAAAGACTTACTATGTGTATACCAAATGACTGCTTTAAGAGAAAAACTACTCACATAGTTCAGAAAATCCCTTTACTATGCAATTATACCTACAGTATCGTCTTTTGCCTCTCATCGACTATTTAAAATGTAACAAGCAATTCCAGAACACAAAAATTTCTTTGTTTACCCATAGGTTCCAAAGACTGTTGTTGTTTGACTGAAGATGTGTGGAAAGCTTCTGGAAACTTATCCGATTCTGAATTCTGCAATGTGTCAGTTGTGGAGCCAGTCATTTTCTGAGAATTGTCTCCACTATCTTCATTATCATTTAAATCTACACAATGAGATGTATCAGGAGCATCAGACACTTCTTCTTTCCTCTCAGTTGTCTTCTGAAACATTTAATAAGGTTAATACACATTGAGAGAAGTCTAGCAGTTTTCTAATTGGTGTTCCAGTTTATTTCACATTTAGTATAAATTATATTTCAGATCTTTGCAATATAGTTACTCCTGAATTTCTATCACGAAAACCACTGGTAGAACAGTTAAGAATTATACAAAGATGTGCAGAGAGCATTTTAGAAGTGTAGTTGGAGGTGTTTTGGGAGTAATGTTTCAGTCAATATAAAACAGAAATGCATAGCTGAATATATCTGAAAAAAAACCTGCAAAAACAAGTGCTAAGAGCTACTTGATTAAGCTCTCAATCAAATTTGACACTACTTCTGAGGAACATTTGCAGTGCTTTCCTTATAGCATCCTACGCCTGAACACTTCTTAACTGAACTCTGGACACAGAACCAGGAAGAGGCAAAGCAGAGAAGAGCATATTCCAGTATTCCCCACATGGAAGAACCAGTGCTGCAGTCAGCATGCCTGTGCCGAGCAGCACAGAGACAGACCCTAAGGAATTTCCAATACAGCACCTGTACCATGAGCAGGTCAAACAATTAATCTGAGAAAAAAGTGCAAACTTAGTACTTAATAAATCATCACCTTTGCTTTGTTTTCAGAGCGTAAGGAGCGGATCATAGAATTGACATTTGTGATACAGGTTTTCCAGTCTTTTCCACGCTCGCTCAAATCATAGGTTGGAAAGTTAGTTGCAAGAAACTCTGCATATAAAATACAGAAAATGTTTGAAGCATCATTACAAAGCCCAGTATTTAGAAGTATCCTAATTTACAAAGAAAGAGAAAGCTAACTAATGCTTCATATGTTTACTGTTCTCCATTTACAAGCTTCAGACTTCCATCAATAAATAACTACAGTAAACTTATGTTTTGAAAATAACCAGCATTATGAATTCAAGATGCTCTGTGATACTTTTTGAGATGTTGTGAACAATGCTTCTATTACATTAAACATTTCCTGGTAGAATTGGGGAAAATGTGTGATTTCTAATACTAACTTTAAAAAAAAAAACCCCAAACCAACACCACCACCATCCCCCCAAAAGAACAGACACAGGGTAATGCTGCAACTATTTCACATGGCTTATATAATCTCACACTCAATTTTAACCCTTTAACACACAGATGCCATGTGATCTGTGCAAACAACATTTATCAAAAAAAGCTCCCTCCATCTTCACCACTTCTCACTCAACATTACAGTATTTCAAAAACACCAGTTAATGTTTGTCCCAAGTATACCATGGCCATAAACCAACCCAATCAAACAACAAAAATAAACCACTGACAAAATCCATGGCACACACAAACACAAAATGAACTGCAATTAAAATCTAGAGACAGCAAGTGTGACTGATGAACGCAACGTACGTATAACTAGAAGAAATTTGAATAGTTTTATTTAAATTGAAGAAAAATGAAGACTGAGAATTACAAAGCAGGACTTTCAAAACAAAAAGATACTGCACAGTGGAGCACATAACTATGGCATTTATCTGCTCACCAGTTGCCAGACAACTATTAGCCAGAAACATACAGAAAAGGACTCCTTTAAGTTCAAAACCTCATTAAGTATGAAATAAGTAAATCTGTGCATTTTGAAAAGTAACACACCTCTTATTGCAGCAATTTTGTTTGGATCCAGTGTCCTGCGCCCTCGTGCACTCGCTCCCATGATGCTGCACAATAAAGTTTTCTTGGGGAACAAGACACGAACCAAGTGGCGCGCTGCGTACTTGGGTTTAGTCTTTTGCCGAGCCTTCACCAAATGGTTTCCAAGAACTTTTACATTTCTTGCTGGGTCACCAACAAACTCTTTTGTAAAACAAAAATATTCAAAGAAAAAAAAAATTAAAATCCCAAATAAGTTGTTAAAAACAGAGCATTTTTTCAAACTCTTTCTCTTGACTCTCAGTGTATATTCTCTACCAATTTACTATGTATTACTACTTATGTTTGCCCTTACAAAAGCAGCTTTAAATTGGAATGGTAATAGAAGTACCTTTTAGATTCACATTAACCACCAGCATAACTAATTGAAATCAAAACATGCAAGAAAATACATTAGACACCCAACTGTCCACAAAGTTCATAGTGGCCTATTTTTACATATGTGCAGATACCAGGTATGTTTACAAGACACAAACTCATGAAGAGTGGCATACCCATACACAGAACTGCTAAATCATAAACTGTTTACAAATTTTTAGATAGATATCTGAATATTTCACCTACTATTCATGCAGCTCTTCAGCTGTAAAAATGTATTTTGTAGACCAAAAGCAAAGAAGTCATAGCTCAGCCTTGCATATAAAAGTCAGGCCATTTACCCTTTAGAAAGGCATTAGTTTAACACATGGTGCCATCTGGTATGTCTATCTTTATTATAATGCAGTGATCTATAAAATTCTTGATTTTCTTTGGAATCAAGTATTTTGGAAGAAACCAAACACTGGAAGATTTGAGTATACAAAGGATGTTTCACAGATAAAATCCTGCACAAGAAGAAAACAGTTATTTCCTTCACACAGGTAAGCTGCTTTCTTAAAACATGCAGACATGCATACGTCTCACTTAGCTTTAATGGCAATCTATCTGCCTCCTCCAACACGTGGGTAAGCATGCACATATTACTTGTGAATTTTACACAGAATAAAAAAGGTTACATTAAGAGATAAAAAGAGAGCCTAGAGTTAAAAGAACCCAAAGCACCTACTGTAAATCAAAGGCTTGTGGTAGTACCAGCCATTTTTTAGCCTTGGTTTCTGAATATTTATCACAAAGGAACTCACCAAGGCTAGGATTGATGAAGACTGAAGAAGATGGTAGTTCTTCACTAATATTCACATCCTCAGACGCATTTCTGTAGTTCAACTCCACAGCATTATTTTCCTGACTGGGCTCAGACGGTGCTGGTATCGATGGTGATGGCACAGGTGAAGAAGATGCAATGTTGACAGTACTTTCCACAATACTGGGAGCAAGATTTGATTGTGGTGAAAGGTCAGGCATCCCATTAGTTGCTGTGTATGATGAATGTAATGAATGTGTAGAAACTATTGTGGGAAGTGGTGGGCTCTGCCTTCCAACAGGCTGATGAGATTCAAGCTGAAAACTCTGCAGGACGTGTTTTGTTTTGGAATTGACTTGAACGTGACCATTTTGCAAAGCAATCCTTACAACTGGGCTATGCCTTCCCTGGCCTGATGAAGAACGATGAAGACTTAAATCTCTTTCCATGGGTTTTTGTACTCTTATTTTTCCTGAAGGCAAATGACTGGAACTTCTGTATGTAAATCCAACTGGTTTCTGAAACGTGATTCAGAAAACAATTAAAAGGTTACATTAGACATAGCTGATAATTTTGGGGGTTTTTTTTAGCCAACCAGGAAAACTAGATTTTAGTAATTCTGCTATTGGCAGCATACTCTTCCTTTAAGTGGTCTCTGTCATCAACTCAGAGCTACCATGTTTTAGCCTTCCCTCTAGTATCTTCTATTCTCATTTGTATGTAAGAGCTTATCTAGTCAGCTTCAATGTTTCTCTATTTCTTTCACTTGGCGGGGGGGAGGCCAAAACTACTTTCTGGACCTCTTATTAAAAAGAAAATAGGCAAAATAAACATTAAAATTTTTCAGTCATTGACCCAGTCACTGGCTGATGAATTTTCAAGGAATGTGTCCACTGCCCTGCCAGCTCCTTTCAAACAAGAAAAAAACCCAAACACTTCCTCTTCTTTCTTTACTTGTTAGGTGAAAACAATAAATATTCAGATTTCATCTACAATGAAGATTCCAGAGAGACTGAGATGGACAAACTGAGAGATAGGCTATGTTTTCCATCACTTCAAGCACTTTTTAAAAAAATCATACACAGGCATTCTAGTTCAAAACACAAGTCACTGAGAAGGAGCAACCAAATGAAGATGACACATGCGGATTTGTTTTTCTTATTTTGTTTAATTTTGCTGGGTTTGTGTGTTTGTTTAGAGAAATCTCATTATATTGCACCCTTGTAAACTTAATAAAACATCTATGACCTTAAGGAAGCCTTATGTATCTGAAAGTTTGTCAGCTTCTCCAGCTTTTGGAATTCATCTAATAAAAAAGTAACTTTACCCCAAACCATTCCATTACCCTTCACAAGTAAAGCAATGGTACAGCCATAAAAAAAACCCAACAGCACTTCTGATGATTTTAAACGGCAGAACCCAAGAAAACAGCTGGCAGATAAAAGCCTCCAGGAAAAAAAAAAAAAGAAAAAAAGAAAAAAAAGCAATGCAGGTCACTTTTAACACAAAAATCCAAACATTAAAGCACCTGCCATCCCACATATCAGAGGGGAGGGTAAGAGCACAGAGGTCTTATAGGGGTCATTTGTATTTGACAGGATCAGTTTATTCCCTGAAATTCATGGTTTTGGATATGTAGACAGCACAAGCTTGGAGTTGACAATAAAACCTAGTATCCTAGTGATGGCTGACAGGTGTGAGAAATCCAGCTCCATCCACCCATAAAGCAAATGGCCTTACTGCTGTCTTGACATCTCCTGACAGCAGAATCATCTCTGCCACATTAAAAGCTTTGTAGTGTTGATGACAAAAAAAAGCCCTTATGGATTTTATAAACTTTTTCCAAAATCATCTGTTATGCTTTCCTTTTAATGATCATTGTTAGAAGTACTAAGATTGTGTCTCCTTAGTTAACACTAGATTGACTGTTTGGGAGCAAAATTAATATTGTGTACTCAGTATCAAACATTATTAAAAGTGTTTAAAAAGGAGTTTCCATTAATAAAAATATATTCTATACTGTAATGGATAGGACAACATACTGCTCAGATCTAAAGTTCAGTAAGCCAACTGAACCAACCTGACTGATGCTTAAACTCTCTTCTAACTACAGAAACCAATGAGACAACACATCACATGTTACAAAGGTGCAATAGCAATACACTGAAGTTTAAGATGCACCTACACAATTCACTTCTGTTCATGCCAATACAAATAGAATTTTACAGCATCTATCACAGCATCCTGAATTTGATGGGAGTCACTGCCAATCTGTGGCCACCAGTCAATAACACAGGAAACTGAAGCTGGCACATAATCAGAAATCTCAAGTAATTGAATTGAAATAGATTCTAAGTCTGCTATTTTGCTCCTTATTTCAATCTTAGTGAAAGGATTGGGATTTTTAAAATAAGCATCAGAGGAAATGAGAGAATTAAAGCAAAAATAAACATCTTAGGTCTTTAATACTCACAGGTTTGAGCAAGAATGGCTTTATACGAGTATGCTGCATTTCCGAGACCTTCCGATGAAGCAGATCAAATTTTTTATCCAGTTTCTGAATGGCATCATACATGGCCTGAAGAAACCAAGAAAGTTCAATTAAAAGCTGAACTCCCTCCCTAAAACTTAGCCAACTTCCTTCCACAGCACTGCTGAATGCCTAAGGAGACTTACCAAACATTAACACTTGGCTACAACCACTTACAAATTGACTTAAATTAAGCATGGCCTGATTGATTCCAGTCACACAAGTGCTCACCTGAATAAATAAGGGATGCTTTTAATTTCTAGTGCAGTTATTTTCAATTTTGCCCGTTACTGCTTCAGGAATCAAAAGGAAAGAACTCACAAAACCAACACCAGCAGGATTTTTGGCACACCTTTGGCAAGCAACATGTACATTCAATAGCTAGCTGTGTATCACCGCCGTATCTTTCCCATTACTGTGAAGCTCCTCCCAATAACTAAACTTTACATTTTGTATTAAAGCTTAATATTTGAAAATTATTCTTACGAAAAGTTCAGAGAATATGAACGACATTAGTTTCACTTTGAAAATATTGTAGTTATGTGGGCAATTAACAACGCAAATAACTGGAAAGGATCACGCCACTGGTTGTCAAGTTTATAATACAACTCTAGTTCCTAAAGTTTAACTAAAATTGTTTAAACACCATTTCAGATATAAAGGAAAAAAAATACCTGGCAATAACTGAGGACCTCCATAAGAGGATTCTGTTGATACCCAGTATAAGAAGCTTCAGATAAAACGCTTTCCTTTTTCATGAAAGTAATAATTAAACATAAAAAAGAAAAAAAAAGGAGTGTAAGGTACTAATATATACACAGACTTAGCAAGTAAATCCCAACTTCAAATCTCTCATGTTACTTCAGCCTACTGCACAACATGCATCCCCAAACCAACTTTTCAAAGTCTGTCAAACAAAAGAAAATTCACTTACACATTCATAGTCAGGTTCATACTCATAAATGACACTGTCATTATCTTCATATTCTTCTTCCCTGGTTCTCATCTGGGAAATAACATAATTAACATTCAATGTTTTGAAAAGTTGAAGAATTCTTCCAGCAATCCAACTTGGACACTTTTGGTTGTAGTTGTAATTACCTCCCTTGGCTATAAGAGGGCCCAAGAAAACAAGACCTACTACAGTCATCTTATTTATGTACTGGTGTGTTAAGGAAACTTTCCTGTCTAACCAGGCAGGAGACTCTCTGGTGGTCACCCACGGACTGTACCTGCTGGGGCTGAAGCTCCTTTGCAGTGAATGGCTCAGGTGCCTTGCCTGACTCCCTACATATTCTACTTTCACAGTCAAACAAGGTTTCCTTACCAGCTTGACCCTGGATTTGCTATAGCAGACTTTCAGGCCTCTGGTTTCTTCAAGTAATTTTATCATGGTACAGAACCAGACATATATATATACGTATAAAAATTAAAAATACCGTGCTTTTTTATTTCTTTATTCCAAGGCAGAACTTTCTCATCTAACTAAATGTACTATACAGACAAGCTTATGCCAATGGTACAGAACCAGACATATATATATATGTATATATATATATATAAATGAAAAATAACATGCTTTTTTATTTCTTTATTCCAAGGCAGAACTTTCTCATCTAACTAAATGTACTATACAGACAAGCTTATGCAATCACAGAATCACTTAGATTGGAAAACACCTCTGAGTCCAAATTATGAGACTTCAGTGTGTATAACTCAAAGCAGAAGCTGTAAAAAATTTCTAGAAGAGGAATTTTCTCACAGCTTGCACACTGCTTTTAAGCAGGAAGAACGGCACCACCACCTGGACAAAGCTGGCATTTTCCTTTTACTGGATGGATGCCGATGCCATCCAGCACTCACCAGATTCAGAACCTCTGCTGGTGGTGCTGCTTTCTTTTATTTTTTTTTTAATTGATCAGGTTTTATTTTAGAAAAGGAAGGCTGGCAGGGTGGTAGGTGATACTTCTGCTTTGTGTACAACAGGCAGAATTCAGTGACTGGTAAAACTGTGGATACTATTCTGGGAGTTACTGAAAAGCACCTGAAGGACAAGTGAGTCACAGCCAGCACGGCTTCATAAGGGTAAAATCCTCCTTGCCAAAGTTAATTTCCTTTTATGACAAGGTGACCCACCTAGCTGATCAAGGGAAGTCAGTTGATGCAATCTGTTTGGATTTCAGTAAAGCTTTTGATATTGTCTCTCACAGGATCCTCTGGACAAAATGTCCAGCACACAGCTGTTTAAACACATCACAGCATGAGTGAGCAACTGGCTCATGAGCCAGGCACAAAGGGTTACAGTGAATGGGGTGACATCACACTGGACACCTGTCACTAGAGGGGCTCTGCAGGGCTCCATCCTGGGCTCTGTGCCTCTCAACATCTTCATAAATGATGTGGACACAGGACTGGAAGGGAGACTAAATTTTCTGATGACACTAAGCTGGGAGGGAGGGGCCATTGACTCCCATGAAGGTGGAGAGGCCCCACAGAGAGATCTAAACAAATTAGAGGCTGGGCAACCACCAGCAGTATGAAGTTTAACAAGGACAGGGCTGGATTCTGCACCTGGGATGGGACAACTCTGGGTGTATGGACAGACTGCAGAATAGGAGGCTAAAGAATTGCTAGAAGCATCCATGCATAGATATCCTACCCATCTTCAGTGGAATGTCATCAAATCACCACACAGCAGTGAAAGAAAAATTACATTCCAAGTAACACTGAAACTGGTCACAAAAGGAAGGGCTACTGTTTGGTGAAACATACCACACTGTGTTCCACTACAGCAGGAGAAATTCGCTTTCTTTTATTACGCAAAACCACAAAATCCCTTTTCTCAGGGCTGTGACCATTTCCTCTCTGCATCATTGCAGAATGACCCATTTGTGAGGCTGTTAGATCTGCAAGCACTGGCAAGCCTTCATTTCCTGTTAAAATGAAGAGAAAGCAAAGTTCATCAGAAAGCTTCCCACTGCATTACACATTTCACTATAGCAAAAACAGGCACAGTCACCCTTCTTTTTTAAACTTTCAGACTGCTTGAGTATTTGAAATTTGTTTACCAGTATATTATCAAACACTTACTAATCCAATTAATTTAGATCAGAAATTATAAATTTAATTTAATTGTTTTTTTCAAACATAATGATATTTTAAAAGTGTCAGTAAAAGTAGTACTGACTTTGTGAGCATAAATGACTAAGAAAAATTTAAAATAAAAGGTGCTCTGCAGCCGGCAAGGAGAAATGAAAACCTAGATGTCTCTCTCTGCATGATGTTGAGCTTCCTCTGACAGCTTCTTATTGTAGGCAAGAAGATACAAGACAAAAGTATAAGAATCTCGTTTGAACAGACAGAATGAGATCTGAGGGAAAGGCACTGCTCTACAAGACACTGGTCTAAGATAGTGGTTCAATAAAACAAATCACACAGAATTTCAGTTCAAAGTTCACTACTCACATTTGAGATAAACCTGTGGTGTGTTTCACTCACATATCTCACTATACTTGATTTAACTAGACAATATCTAATGCTAATGCAACCAAAGATAACAAAACCATATTTTACCTTTTAAGAAACAACTGCTCTCATCATGATTCATTTAACAATAATAAAATAATTACTCATGTCCCAAAATCAAGGTTAGCAACTGTCTATGACAACTTGTTGGGCAGAAGTTTTAATTTTGGTGGGGTTGTTTGTTTATTTTCAATAACAGAGACAAAACCCCAAGAAAACCATCCAAACCATCCTCCACTCCCAAATTTGTTTTCAGATGTAAACTTACAACTACAGAATACTGTCAATTAGAAGACCAAGAAGTCTAAAGGTTCTCAGAAGCACCCAACAACACTAGGAATCAGATGTAACTTGTATCTGTGAAGAGAAATACTAATGGGGTTCTCTATAGAGTTAACTGGTTTAATTTTTAAAAAAAATCCACAAAAGGAAGTGCTTTCACTTAGTTATAGTAATGTTCCTCACTGACTTGGTAATACTGCTCTACAGGACTTAAATGCTCATAACAGCTGTGAAGAATTTTTGTCTGGGCCAATGAAGCATTGGGTAAGATTCCTTGAGATACTTTGATCTTGCATGTTAAAATAAATACAGTGAATTAAAGACAATGGCTACTTACCACTAATAATTTATCATCTTAAACAGCCATCTTGTTATCATTACACACCAGCATCTCCAGTACTAAGTTACACTGGACAGATTATCTAAAAACCTAATTTGTTAGGCTAGGCTCTCTCGTGATATTTGTTTTCCAAATTGCTTCCTAATTTATTCCTAGGTATATTTACCCTTACAAGTAAGTAAAAAGCTGTCTTTTTAAAACGTAGTATTTTAGCAGGCTTGCCATTTATAATGACATAGAAAGTAATAACTAAATGGCACTTTTCTTTAAAGGAACTGCCAAGCAATTTCTATAAAGTAGCTTTCTAATAAAACATGTTTTAAAGGTACGGGTGTTATAGAAAGGACTGAATCCAAAAGCACAGAACATATGGCATTAAAACTAGCCATTAACTATCAGATCACAATAAAAATGAACAGTAATTACCATAGGCAAGTTGACTCATGTGGTGAACAGCACTGTTTGCTTCAGAGTTCTGTGGCACTGGCATGCAGCTTTGTGTGGACAGCCCGCTGTCTTCAAGGTCCATAATCAGTGCTTCATCCTCCTCCTCAGCCTTCACACACAAATAATCTATTAGCAGAAAGAGAAACAGGTAAGACTGTAGGCCACTCAGCATATCAGGTGACAACTGTAGTGCCTGTATCACACCTAGCATTATCTCAATTGTACCACAGGCTATTATAAATTCTGCTTCACTTTAGCATGTAAATGCAAAGTCCCTTTTAAAGACAGATAACTGAGGTTTTGATGCACGCTAGAATGGAAGCAGTTTACTATTGTTTAGTTGGGATTTCTGCAACTGTTCAGAACCCAGTTCTCCCTGAAGTGTTCAGCTTCAACAGGAACAGTTATAAGCCAGTTACAAGCACTTCTACAAACTCCACTGTTTACATATTCAAGCATACGAAAAAAATGTATTAATCTGGTCTTGAAATTTTACTTTCATAATTAAGACTTGCTTAATACACTTGAACAAATCAGTCCACAAATCCTAACTGTATACTTGATATTCAGATCAATCCAAACATTGGTTCCCAATGCAATAGTGTGCAGAAACACTGAATGGCAAACCTCCAGTAGCAGATTTTTTCCAATTAAACACACTACATCAAGAGAAAAATGGTTTCATAATAACTGTACTATAGCTATTACTGCTAGATCCAGTGTTTTTGACAGGGTCAGGGAGGGAGCGAAATCTATTTTTGGTTAAAAAAATTCAGGGAAGGAACCTTATCAAGTTAGGAAATAAAACTGAAATTGAGCCAGCACACATGCATGACACTCTAACTATGCATGACACAGGCTGTATTTTCCACAGGGTCCCTGCCCTGTTCAGTGCACAGGATGGACTGAGCTCCAGGAATGAATCAGAACAGTATGAGCAGAACAGCAGCCTGGGTCTCTACTCTTACATAATCAATTCATTCCAAACCCCACTCTCTCCCAATTTCTTAAAGAGACCAAAAGGTAAGAATGAAATTGAATTCCATAGGTAATTTTAGTTTTCCCTCTGGCCAATAGTCCAATCTAAAAGACATAATACAGCAGGGTTTGGACTGTTTTGTCAATCAGATTAAGAAACTGATGATCTGTTCAGAAACACCCATCAACTGCTACCCAGTCTTTGGCTTTGTTTATAGTGTAAACAAAGCCAAAAATCTACCTGGGCCAGAGCTGACCTGTACAAAGGAGTTTAGCTGAGGACACACTCTAGGATATGCTGCTTAGGCTGCCAATGGGAGAACAGTTCTTGGCCAGTTTTCATCAGCTGTATGGAAGTAAACAACAGGCTTACTCATGAACCTACTTTAGGTGCAGCTTTTAGCAAAACACTTCAGTGATATTCACTGACTGAAGTTCATTGCAGGCTAACATGAGTTATTAGCATGTGCTGAATTATTTAACTGCCTCACAGGCACAATTTTTTTTTGTTGACAATCATTTAGTATTCCACCTACTTTGGGAGAGAATTAACGAAGAGTCAGTAAAAGTGCATCTGCATCGAAGCAGGAGGGATGACAATCCTCTCTGCCAATTTCCCCAGCCAGGATGCCAGATTAGTGCATGGTCTGACAAATGCCCTACTTACAGCTGGGTCTCTGCTGTCCTCCAATCCTCTTTCTATCCCTAACCAGACAAAGCAATGCAAATTCGATGTTATTTATGCAACCCTAAAAAGCCCAGAATTTACCTGTATATTCATAATCTTTGCCACAGATCTCACGCCTCACTCAAATAACACCAGCAAAACAACCCAACCTGATCAGCAACTACATCACTCAAATCTACACTAGTAAGAGTGATGAGTATAGAAGAGGGAAAATTCTGTGCAACCAGCACATAGCAAAGACATGGCAAGGTCAGAGCAGCTCCATCTGGATTAGAGGAAGGCAAGTATGATCAGAAGTTAGGAGAGTTTCTACAAGTGCTTCATACTGAAAGCAAGGCTTAGTCTTCCATACCCTCTATCGCCCTGCCTTAAATAAGTTTCAAAATCAGAATTTCAACAGTGCAGTGGACTCTGAACAGAAAGTATTTCCAAAGCCTGCAGCTACAGCAACTCACAGCTGGAGAGCAAACATAAACCAAATAGGAAAATACAGAAAGCAAAACCACCTCAATTAAAAAAAAACCCAAAAAAAACAAAACAAAAAACAAAACAAACAAAACAAACCAAAACCAAAACCAAACATACAACATATTTCTACAATGACATGGAAGCAGTGCAGCAACAAGCAGTAATCTCTCATTTTAACCTTTCAGGTGATGGCCAGGATCCTCCTCATCCCCTGGCCTTTTAATTTCCATCACCTATTGCTGAATGTGGTGGCTTTCACACATAGAAAGGGAATTATTCTGTCTTCAGAACAGCATTTTTACATGAACAGTCAAGAAACCTGAAGATTAGAAGACACCACCCATTTCCAGGAAGGCTTATAAGTATGACTGGTCACACTGCAACAATAAGAAAAGCAGCTCCAAGAATGTAGACTCACCTCTTTTATACCAACCATTTCCTCCTTTCCCTAATGCATTCTAGCTGCCTGACCTCTAAAGTCAGTGGAAAACTTAAATGTCTTTGCTATAGATTTGACTACATTCATCAGCACGAAGAACAGATATGTGATAAAAAATATTTTGTTTACAAGACTTTGGGCATTAAACAAAGTTTACTTATAGAATATTAGCATATATAATATTATTCATACCTTCAAAAATACGTGACAAGAAAAAAATCCAGCTATTTAGCCAGAATCTGAAAGACACTGCAACTTAGTCCACTAAGCAACTCTAAGTATTTCTGATGCTTCCTTAAAGTGCCCAGGAATAGAGAATATTACCATACATATATAGAACAAAACAGTATGAAATACAACTCTGACTCTCAGATAGAAACCACAAACTGCCGAATTCTATGGATTAATTTGTGCTCCTGGGAAAAAACAAAAAAAGCCATCAAGTGTTTTTTACTTCTGACTTAGATGCAACTGCATTTCTTGTGCCAAGTCAGTAATATATATACATTAACTCACTCCAGGGACAGAAAATTTCATATTTAGATTCATAGATATTTAGATGTTTCCAGAACATCTTGAAAGGAAATTATAAATTGTAAAAGTGTGACTAAGGAAATATTTCAGGTTTACATATTTCAAACATAGTTTTTACTGTGAAGTGGATTGCACGTTAGATAAGACTTACTAAATTGGCTGATTTATCCAATCATTGGATCAAGTTATCAGTTTAGGAGAACTCTGAATTTCTGTTTGAAAACAGAAGTAACAGTTATCTAAAATTAGAAAACATAACCAAACAAATTCCTTTTCAGACTCAGTGCATACTTTGAGTTATGATATGGGTTAAGACTTAGAACTTTCAGTAGAGCTGTAGGATATGCCAGAAGATCAAAGTTCATAAAAATGTGTATTGTACAGAAAGACATTTAGAGACAGAGCAGTCCAGGGAAATGCCATATTAAAAAACCAAGATTGGAGATGATCTTTTTAACTTCTAAGATGTTTAAGTTCATAATTTAGAATTCTTTCATCAGGAGATCGTCTTCATTTCTGCACAAAATCATCAAGTTGAAGGATATTAAAGACACTTAGACTTGAGTTATTTGCACCCAAAAATGTTCAACTCTGTGCCTAACCCTGTACTACATTAAATTACAGCTTTTTATGCAGCTCTGTGAAGCCAAGCATCACAAATAATTTATTTCCAGTAACCAACAGAAAGATATATTTTAAATTATTTGGGACTTGAAAATGTATTGGTATTAAATGTCAAGAAACACTAAAACAAACCAAACAAACAACCATCTCAAACTCTTTCAAAGGCAGAACTGAAAGGAAAAACAAAAGCTCAAAAAACCTCTCTAGCAACTGTGAATTACATACCAAAACAAATCAAGCAAAGCAACCCCACCCAAATAAATAGAGAACTTACCTGGGTTAAAAGTAAGCCACAAAAGGAGAGACAGCTAGCCTAAACTTGGATTGTAATTAGATCCTGCACTGTTTATGGCATGACACTTGTGCTGACACACACAAAAAAGTGAGCTAACACAAGGGAGAGCCCAGGGACAGCAGTGCCTTTCAGGGTTAGTATCATCCCATCACAAGTCCAAGTAATTATTTGCCTATAAACTCTATTTCACTGCAGACACAACTGAGAGTTTCAAGCACATTTATGACAATAACAGCTAGAAGCACAGAAATACAACCAGATCTGATGCATCAGCTGAAGTCTGAAGACAAGATGACAGACTATTTTTTTCTTTCCCCAAGTATGTTACTAATAAAACACATCACATAAGCCAGTGGAATAAGAAAGGACTTGTACTGAATGAGACATTACCTGATGAATGCTCTCACTAGTTGCAGAAACACAAATGTAAGTGTGTAAGATCATCAAGCATAGAATGGTAAAGGGGGATTGATGAAAGAGATGGCTGAAAGCACCAATGAGTACTAAATCCTATCTCAACCTCTACTGCAGAGTTTCTAGAGAGCTTGCAAAATCATTAAAAACTTTTCATAGAAATCTGGTGGGTTTTCTTAATTTTCTATGAGTTCAGTTACACCTCTATTTCTGCAAACATTATCTCAACACGCCCAGGTGAAACACCCAGCCATGGAAGCTCTGTGTAAGTCAAACCAGATTTTACAAAGATTTTTAAGTACTGCACTCAGAAAAAAATCGTAGCCCCTACCTTAAGTCACATCCTTGAATTTAGCATACTTCTGATTATTTTGTCCTTCCTCTAGATATGTTATCAGGGATCAGAGACACCAGAATACTCTACCAGAGATAAAATGCTTAACAAAAGTCTCTGAACACTGAAACAGCTAATTTAGAGTGCTGCTGTCAGAATTTGCAACAAACTAAGAAGACAACAAAAACTAATGTTCAGTTCATACAAACCAATTACTATGGAGAGAAGCAAAATAACAAAGCCAGATTTCCTGTACCTTTACATGTCATATTTAGATCACTGAGATAATAAAATCACTGAAAGTCAAGGTAAAACCACTTTCACATAAAGACCTTTGGTGTTTATTAAGACTGGAGCTCATACTGCCCCTTTTAATTGAACAATATTATTAATGTAATATTTTTTCTAATGACAGGGATTAGTACAGGCTTAGTATTTGCTAAGATTACTGAGTTACAAATAAAGCCAATCAGGAAACTGAAGAATTGAGGACAAAGGAGAAGCACCAACAAACACATCACTGCGCACATTTATTTATTTAATAAAGATTAGATCACAATTGCTCTTCCCCGATCCTCCTGCCACCTCATGTTGACACTTGCACAATTGCACAACAAACTGGTTATTTCCTGACCAGAAAAGTTCCTTGAACAATGAAATCATACAAGAAAATCTGGAGTCTGAGCAAGACGTCTGTGACAGCAACAATCTAAACGGGCATAAACTAATCAGAGTCTGTATAAACATCACTTCTCTGAAGGGCAAGGCGAAGCACGTAACTGCTGGAAACAGACATGTTTTGGTCCAAAGTCGAGGTGTCTGAAGCCCAGGACACTTAAGCTGCGCTATGCATTCATTGTGCTTTCTCACAGACAACTCATCACATCAGACCTCTCACTTCAGGAGCAGCATTCATCTCCCCCTTCTCAGGTTCTGTATCCGAGTAACTACAGAGCTAGGGGAACCTCGCAAAGCCAAGACCTTGCTGTTCCACGGAAAAGTCTCCCCAAGATTCAGGCACTATGCTGAGCTGCCATCTGAGGACTATGGAAAACAAAAGCTCCCCCCACCATCAACAATGGAACTGAGGCCACCAAGCTGCAGCTGGGCCACACTACTCCTGAGCACAAACTTCCCCGCGAACACACATTCCCGGTGCCCCGGGAACACACATTCCCGGGGGGAGCCCCGGGGGCGCGCCGGGCCCGCACGCCCTGTGGGGGACGAGACGCAGCCTCGCCCGCCATGAGCAGCGCCGCGAGACCCGCCGGCGCTGACGCGGCGGCGACGGGCAGGAGAGGCAGCCAATGGCAGCGCCGGCCGCGCGGGAACGGGCGAATAGCGACGGGCGCGGTGGGCGTGGCCCGGCCGGTCGGCAGCGGGCGTTGGGGCTGTTGTGAACGATGAGGGAGCGTTCCCCGCGCCGCGGCGGCGCCGCGTCCCTCCCGCCCCCCTCGGCGGGGCGAGCCGCCCGGCCGGGAGCCTCTTACCCTCCTCCGACATGGCTTGATGGAGCGGCTGAGCGCGGGGTCCTCCTCGGGCGGCGGAGCGAGCGGGGCTCGGGTACGGGCAGCTGTGGCCGGAATGCGGCGTTGGAAACGGAAGCGGCTTCTCCGACGTGAGCAAGAAACTGTTTTGGAGCAGTGCGGCTGCGCGCTGGGCGCGGGGCGCGCCCGGGAAACGGGAGCGCGGGGGCGGTGCCGCCCGCTCCTTCGGCAGCCGCGGCTGGCGCGCAGCAGCGAGCGAGCGAGCCAGCCAGCCAGCCAGCGAGCGAGCCGTGTGGGCCGCCGAACAGCCGGTCCGCTCCCCCTCAGCCAACGAGCCAGCTGCCCCGCTCCCTCAGTCTGCGGCCACGCCGCCCGCTCCCTCAGCAAGTCTCTCGCTCCCCTAGCAGCCTGCCAGCTTGCTGGCCCCCTCCCGCAGCAGCCCTGCCGTTCCCGCAGCAGCCAGCCGGCCAGCCGGCCCGCTCTGGCAGCAGCCAGTCCGTCGGCCGGCCCTCTCCTCCAGCAAGCCGCCGGCGGTATGCTGCTGGGCACGGCTCTCGAGTTAGGAAAATGCCCGGGCTTTCTCTGCTCCCATCTCGGCCCTCTGGCGCTGCCGCGCTCTGTGCCAGCCGAGGCCACGCTGAGGGCAGCCAGCTCCGGTTCATGCAGCTGTTCTGGGCCCCTGGGGAATGCGGGGCTGCCGAGCTGCTCCCTGGGGCCCTGTGTGAGGGCAGGCTGTGTTGCTTGTGCCATTCACTGCTCCAGGTTTCAGGGTATAAAGCCGTCTGGTTCTTTTAGCACACCAAGTTAAGTTTTGGTGGTCTGCATCACCCCCAATTTTTTTGATTTGGGGCTGGGGATCAGCAGATCCAGAAGATGGCCCTGCCCAGATGCCCCATGGCTGTCCTCATGGTCCCTGCTGGAGGCACAGGAATCTCTGGGGGCATTTATTCAGGGAGTGGTGGGAAGAATCAAAGAATTAGGTTGGAAAAGACAAACTTTGAGAACGTCCAGCCCAACCTATGACCTCACAGCATGTTATCAACTAAACTATGGTGCTAAGTCATATTAAGTTCTGTTTTAAAACACCACCAGAGATGGTGACTCCCCTGTCTTCCTGGGCAGCCCATTCCAATGTCCCAAATACAATGACACAGTGTAAGAGTATTGGATATGGGTGGTTATGGGACTTGATCTACTCATGGCTTGGGGCAGCAAAGTGGCCTACAACAGCCTGCAGGATCAAAGAAAGTACAGTTCAGGAGCACTATGCAAGGCAAAAGAACAGCAATCCCTGCACGTTCGACCAAGAGCTCTTAAAGTTTAGGAGATGTGTGGAAAGTCATGTTTAGGAAATGAATAAAAATCAGGGAAAGGGGTGGATTGAGGTGAATTGGGGAGGAATAAGACTCTGGTGGTAGTAAATGGTTTTCTAGCTTTTCTCTGGGATGTGTGCGTACATTTGTGTGTGGGGGTCAGATATGTCAGAGGGCCTGTATGCCCATAGTGCAGTTCTGGAGTGAGTGCAGGTGTGTGAGCACTAATGAAGGTAAAACTGGATGGCTCCACAAGTGGAGAGGTGGCTTTCTGCAAATATAGAATGATGCAGCTCCATGTCAGGCAAATAAAGTTCGTCTCCCAAACAAGCACATTATGCTGATGTACAGCAGTCTTCTGTTTCTTTAGTTTGAGCTAAACTATCACGTGGATGATTCCTAGAAGTAGTTTTAGAAGAATTAAGAGTTTTCAGTAGAATTTTATTGTATTGACATTCTGTGGATTGGATGCATTCTCTAATAAATGCAGCTGTATCCTGCTTCATGCTTCTGCTTGCTGAGTGCTGCTTGATGCACTTATATAGGAGGTAATGCGGGGCTGCGGATGCTGGAGTTTCATGTAGGAATTCTGCACTGTAGGCAGTAAAGGCTCCAAGTTCTTTGTGTGATCCAATACTTGCATGTGTCTGCACCAATTTCTGAATTCTGTTACATGTTCTAGATTGTCAGTTGCCAGACCCGTAGACAGAATCTCAGGAGGAGTATTGTGTTCATTGAGCCACACCTTCATACTGGAAAGGCCAGTAACCCAGATCACTGGGTAAATCCAAGCTGTATTTGTCAAGATCTGTGCTTCTTTGGCATGATGTAGTTTACTTTTGTGATAAATTAAATTACTCACTCTTGGGTTCCAATGAGTTTCATTGTCAGTGGGTTTCACTCCCTACACTACAAATTCCTCAGCCAGAAGCGGCAGAGACTTAAACCTTGCCAGTAGTTGAAGTGGCTGATTGCTACTAACTTCTGTTAGTAGCAACTTTTAGTAGTTAGTAGCTACTAACTTGTTTGGTTTAGGAGATTTATTTTGCCTTGATCTATTATACTTAATTGTAACTTTAAAGACAAAATTTTCTTCTTCATTTGGTGGAATTACTACCATCTGAACCTTTTGAAAAGGGGTTTTCTCACATAGTCAGTAAAATGCCAGCCTCTCCATGCCATTGTTTATTTATTACTCAACCAATGTTTGCTACATTCATAGTGTGGAGAGGCAGTACTGTTGCCTGAATTGACAAAGAAAAACACTTTCCAGACAATATTAATACAGATGATACAAAAAAGCAGATATTTAATGGAAGCTTCCAGGTGCCCCCATGGCTATGGGCGGAGGTGGAATCAGATTTGTTGTGGTCTATTTTGTTATATTAAAGGCCAGTTCCATTTCTTCCCCCCCTGCCCCCACCCCAATTGGTTTAATCCCTAAATTGTACCCTCCCTTCCATCTGTCCCTCAAGGTATCTTGTCCCTTTGTTCCAGACCCTTCCCTGCCAATAAAGGCAACCCTGGCCCTTTTTCTCTGCCTGTCAAGGCAACCCTGCCCCTTTTTCCAGAACATTCTCTGCCATTCTCCACCTAGATCAGTACTCAACAGAGACTTTCCTCCTCTCCCTCATACTAGTTGGTTTCTGCCCCTTAGTTCCTCCTCTAGTGCCATCTTATTGGATGTCAGTTTGTGTCCACCCCCTATCCTGCTGTACCTTAAAACCCTGTGCAGAGGCTGCTTGGGGCTGTCAGTGTCCTGACCTTTCCAACTCCAGTGAACTGGTTGGAACTTCACGACTAGAGAGTCTCCTCTACCTTCTTTACCCAGTCACTGCCCTGCTGCTGAGGAACACTGTCTCCCCGTGTAGAGCACTGCTGGCTCTGAGGTTCTGCTTCTGGCTTTACCCCTGCCAAGGCAGTTCCCCACCCTTGCTGCTCTGCTGGAGCAAATCGAGCTAGCCTGGGTTCCGGTGTGCAGTGGCACAGATTTGTATAATTTCTTTTGATGCCAGTTAACGTGTATATTTAACAAATATTGTCATGTTAGAAGAGCGGTTGGTTAGGTCATTTTCCCCCAGGTTCTGCCCCACTGGAGCCCTCCCTTGATTTTTTTAGCCCTTCATTTTATTATGGCTGCAATATATGGTGCAAAACAAAGTGTCCTTGCTGGATTAAAAAGACTAAAGAGAGTTCTAAGTTTAGTAGAAGAGTTAGCTTATTGTTCTATGAAGTAAAGGAAAAGGGTAGGAAGAGTACTAGAAGTTACAACCATATATTAGCAGTATACAAAGCTACAAGTATATGAGAAATGTACAGAAAGCAAAAATGTTTAGGCATCAGTACTGTCACACTTCATGGTGTTTGTATACTTTCATCTGGTACATTCTGAGTCATGTTTACTTGTAAATTAATTTGATGACAGTCTGGATGCAAACCTCAAATATTTTAAGATAGGCACTTTAGGGATTTCCCTTTGGAAATCCCCTAATCCTGAGGCCCCATTGACTTATTTGAACTGTTTCCCTCCCCCTGGGTACCCTATTGGACTAAGTGATATAAACTCCGCCTGTTGCTCCTCCCCTATCTTCTTCCTATTGGTTAAATAATTGTACCCGCCCCTTAGCGTTCCCTGTATATAAACCCCTGCACAGCCATATTCTTTAGCTTTCCTCTGTGAATCTTCCATTGAATAAACTTCCTTGGAACCTGCATGAGAGACCCCTACTTTGTTCTTGCCTCTGTCCTTGATGCCTAATCATCTGTGCCATAGAGCAGTCACTCAAAGCTGTATTCCAAATCGCTTTCGGGGAACAGCCAACTCTTGGCCTGGTGCTGGGAGCTAGCGGGTGGACTCCAGCACAGTGTCAGCTGGTGCCCAACATGGGGCCCTTCAGGACCCCTCAGAACAGCTGTCCTAAAGCCTTTTGGTGCATCAGTGCCCCTGGGTGAACACGCCACTTTTTGGTTGGTCGTGCTCCCAGGGGCGAAGTGGCAACTCTCCTGTGCCAGGAGGATCACCTCAGGGCAGAGGACCTCTCCTGTGGTTTTTTGTTCCAGTGGCCAGCAGAGTGGTGAGTTGTCCTGATGGACTGGGAGCTCACAGGTGGAGTCGTTCTTGTTTTATTTTTCTGGTACGGATGATTTTTGTTACTGTTTTTGGTGCGAGGGAGTGAGGGTGCACTGCTCGTTGACATCAGTGGTCCCTGTGTGAAGCACACCACTTTTTGATGGGTGGTGTTCCCAGGGCTGAAGTGGCAGACTGGGAGCCATGAAGCTAAAAGCCACCTAATTGGCTACGCAAAGCACCCCGTCACACCAGACAGTGTGAAGGGAGGTTGGTGCTTGAGGGGAAAGGGAGTTGAGGATGGTCATTGGGCCCTTTTTAAGTTGGCGTTTTACCGCAGGGGAGAGCGGATTGTTGCTGTGTCAACAGGATGGGCGTGTGACTCAACAGAGCAGAGGGAGGTTTATAACCAAGTTGTGGGTACTCGGGTGGGAGGTGGGAAGAACTATAGTAAGGGCTTGATAAAAAGATTTTGCTCACTGGCCGTTCCTCCACTTTCCAAGGATGTCTCTTGTGGATGTTGGGACCATCCCCTTTAGGTTGGTATTAGATTAATGGATTCAACAAAGAGGGGATATTGTGGTTTGTATTTATTTTATTTTATTCAGCCCCCCAGTGGTCAGATGTTTTTTCTCTCACAGCAGTCACAGGCTCCAATAACATCTGTCTGTGTTAGTTTGGGACCCTGAAAATGGTAAGATTGAGGGGCCATACAAAGTAGTGACATGGGGCTGTGGGTATGTCTGTGTATCTATACTTCTGGGACTGCAGTGGATCCCACAAAAGTGGGTAAAACCATATGTGCCCAAGCACTGCAGCAGGCCACCAGACAAGGACAGAGAAGTGTCAGCAGTGAGTGTGTGAAGAAGAGAAGACAGAAACAGCTCG